ATGAGAATACTATGTTATTCATGTGATATATATCGCAAATTTGCAATACCTTATGGACAGTTTTCGTTTGGTGGGCATTTTCTGAGACTTAGATATATACGAGGTCACTCTGTGGCACTAGGTGCCCCACCCTACCTTGGGATGCAATGCTGCTGGCTATAGTCTTGCCCAGGCCAAAAGAATCGTTAACCCATTTGAGACTGAGTAAACTGATGCCACATTTGTTAGAAAAATATTTATTCCTGAGTTCCACTTAAACTGATCCCACAACACTACATCAACCTAGGATGCGTCCCAGAGAGCTTCTGCGATTTCAGCAGGATGTCATATGCGTGGCGCAACTCGAAAGATTGACGGAAGTTAGCTGGTAAACGTAGGATCGCTTTATGATGCTTTGTAATAATCATCTTGCAATAACTGGCATATGAACCTTGCTGCAGCCGTGACCGGTCGGCCTTGTGAACTGGCTAGTTCTGCTTCTGCTTCGTACTGCTGTTGATCAGTCATTCCCATGGTGAACGAGAAGTGCACGATCAGGTCACCTTCAGCATCCCACACGACAATCTTATCACCAATCTTCGTGGGTGTCTGGAAAAATTAAACCACAGGTATAAATAGAACCTAAAACGAAATAAAATAAAGGCAAATACACTGTCAAGTCACAAGAATGCTGGGTTATGAACAAAACTTTCGCCCCAGACGGGACTCGAACCCGCACCTCTTGCTCACCGGGTACAAGTGCACTACAATCAAAAACTATTAAGTCAGCTGGATTAAATCGTGAGAGGATAAAGCGATCACAAAGATAAGGTCTTGCGGCTCAAAATTTTACCTGAAAGGCGTTAGGGACTGCTAGTCCACTGCAGTTGTTGCTTGCATTGCAACGGTCTATGCGGTGGGGTGCCTGCGTCTCTAACGCTGCTGTACTCTCTCGCCTATTTTCCCTCCCCAGTGCTATTTCTTCGTCGTAGCGCGGGACACCTTCAAAAAAAAAAGGAAGTCTCAACAAGTATTTTCGGTGGTTCACTGTCACTCCAATTCACATTTCCATTTCCATTTTTGAGCGGAATAACGACACCTTTTGGTCGTGGAATATGCCGA